AAAAAAAATAAAAAAACTCAAATTGAAGTATTTTTGTATTTTAGTTACAATTTAATTGTTTGATTTCAGGTTAGTTATATAATTGTTAAGAAACAAGTTGAATCTCCATAATTCTTTCTTCTCCTTCCTTTTATTGATCAATGAAATACAGAAAATCATTCTCCAATGTCAATATTATTTTATTTCAATGAAAACTACCGTCGCTATTGTCGCCTATTCACTTGTTGACACACTAAAAGTGCAGTCCAAATTAAATAACCCAAAGAGTGAGACCCAATTGGGGAGTCCAGAATAAAGACCCAAATAAGATTATTGGTGAATACAGAAGAAACCTACGAACATAGTAACATCATTGCCTAATCTTGCAAGACATCCAGAATTTGAGCGAATGGAGTGCCTTACGGTCGCCCAGAGCAATGACCTCGTTCTCGCCCAAACCTTCGAATCGCCCATAGTCTTAACAAATATGAGATATTATGGTTATCTAGAATAGCAGTTATTGAAGTAGTTATCGAGCAGACTTATCATTCCACGATTCAAGGAGCCCATTTGAAGGCGGTTGAACGACAAAGAGTAATGACAGCAGTTAAAGATGGCAGTTCCACGACAAGTTATCCACCATGAAGAAAGTGGGTAGTTATAAAGCAATCAAGCAGTTTCCAAACGGTTTGTCATGAAGAAATCATCATGGGAATATAAAAAGGAAGAGAAGACATAGAGAAAGGACCCCAAATCAAACACTCTCAAACAGAGAATATGTAATTTCAATTTCTTAGATTAACTTTAATTATCCATTTTTCAGTACTAGTGTGCTTGCGCCCCTTGGAGGCATTCTGTTGATTTCCAATTGTAACTCTCATTAATAAAGCACCACTTTTTGGGACTTTGTCTCAAAAGGTTTGTCCCTTACACAATCGTCTGAATCTTTTTTAATTGTTAGCGACTACCCGCTCGAAACAATTTGGCATGCCCAGTGGGACATTGGTGTTTAGTGTTGATAATACAAAAAGTGAAGTATTATGCCTCATAAACATTCTGATAAGGAACCATTAAGTCAGGGAGTAGTCCAGTCTGTAATCGAGTGATATGAGGAGCAGCAAAACTCTCCACGAATAGAGGGACGGAGTCAAAGCAGTCACAGTCGTTACGAACCAATGACATAGTCGAGTCCTCGAACCATGCGTGCATTGCTTGGAGAACTCACACAGGATGTCGTTGAACAGGTAAATCTACGAAATGTTCATAATATAGAAAGATTTACTCAAAGTGGGAATGTACATTATGACAACATAGCCAAATAATTGAATACATTAAATGAGATAATGAATAAGTTAGTAGGCCAAATGTGTCAGCCAGTTATTCCTATTGCTAACCACTTTCAAACCAGGACGATTGTAGGACATAATTCACCACATAATTCTCTTGGTTTGAAATTGAATCAAGGATTAGAGCCACTCT